TGCACGCCCCATCATCAGCACCTGTTTCCTGACCAATTTATACTCGGCCTGCAACTTGAAACCATAGAAACAATGAGCTTGTGGGGAATTCTGGCTGCCCTGCTCTCTCTTGGGAAGCAACTGCGCTTCATTCCTCAGAGATGCCCCAGCGCTCAGATGCTTCAGATGGGCCGGACGTGTTGCACAGCAAGGCTGGTTATAAAAGCAAGAGCAAATACTGAGGAGTCAATATCTGCTAACGTACAGAGGAAGGGTTCTACAATTTCATAAACCCAAAGATTAAAAAATTGAAAATTATTTCTTTAAATTTCTGTACCTAAAATCCCAAATATCAATCTGGAGTACGATACTCCATACGATACCTAATCCAACTAAGTATAAAAAAAGTAAAAATACAGCATAAAGCTTATGTAATGGAAAGTCAATATTTCGTAAGAAATAAGGGATGCAGGCTACTGGAAGAGAAAGAACACAAACATAAAAACAACCTGTCTTATTTCTGCCCTTTAGAAAAGCTTCTTTTGTCTGTAACACTGCTGATTCCTTTGCTCCTTCATCTGATTTGTAACAACTCCTCCATTTTTCCAATTGTTTTAATGCTAACCCCCTTTTTTTTCCCTTCAGTTTCTCCATCTCCCGCGGCCATTTGAGTCAGTCCCTCTTTCCCCCAGCCCCACTCATGCCACTGCATGTCTCACCACTGCAATTCTATCCCCAAATCCACTTTTTATGCACCCCCTGCTTTACATATTTGATGACCTCACCCCCCATGGCAGCTTTGCCATTTGTTTGTCGTCACTTAACTCCAACAAGTGCTGCAATCCATCAGCCACAAACCCTCTTTAGAAACAAAGACTCAGCTGTAGACCTACAGCCTCACCTTACTGTGGCCTTTTTAAAGGCTTTGCTTTTTGCTGTTTCCCCCTTTATATGTTAACTTATCTATCCACCAGTTCTGTGGATTCTCTTGCACGGTTGCGGGACACAACTCTGATACTTCAAACCAAAGCCTGGAATCCCTTCAGAAAATGACTCCATTCTGTCTGGCAGCTGCTGAAGAATGGATTATGTGCAATGAAAATAGTTTCTGATGGTTTCTAATCCTGTATCAAACTCCCAGCTAAAAATGATGAGGACCCTGACTGCAGCTGGGACCCAAAGACAAAGCATAGAAGAGAGCAGGTCTGAGTGAAGTACTCTTCTGGATACACTTGAGCAGGACGTGGGAGCAGATGGCCTCCAGAGGTCCCTTGCAACCTCAGCCATTGTGTGACTGTGAAAGGTGCATCAGCTGCGAGCGCGTGGGTCAGAATTAGCAGGCTGAGGAGTATGGTGGTGCTGTAGCTGTGTCTGCCACAGAGGCAAACAATCTGAAGAATCCTCCTATTTACAGACCCTTATTCTCATAGGACCTCAGTTTTTTTACCACCTCAGTATCTGAAGAAGGGACAACTCAGAAGGGCACAGGCAGTCAGGGACGTTCCTGGAAAACACTGGTGATGAATTCATAACACGGATGACTGAGGAGCAGACAAGCAGAGCTGCTCTGCTCTGCTCCACCTGAGCCTTACGAGAAGGAACTGCCCAGGAGTGAAGGTCAGGGGCAACCTCGGCTGTGACCAGAAGATGGAGGTGATCAGGAACATGAGGGAATGGAGCAGAGCAGAAAACAGGGTCACAATCCTAGACTTCAGAAGAGTAGACTTTGGCCTTTTTGAGGATCTGACTGGAAGAGCACAGGGGAGGGCTGCAAAGATGGAGCAGCTAATGACGGGGAAAGGCTGAGAGCCCTGGGACTGTCCGTCTGGAGAAGAAAAGGCAAAGAAGGATCTGATGAGTACTGATCAACATCTGAAGGGTGGCAGTCAGGAGGACGGGGCCCGGCTCTGTTTGGTGGTGCCCAGTGCAGGACAAAGGGGGACTGGACACAGACTGGAGCCCAGGGAGTTCCATCTGAATGTGAGGAAGAAATTCTGTGCTATGAGGTTGGCAGAGCCCTGGAACAGAACCCAGAGAGGTGGGGAAGTCTCCTCTGGAGATAACCCAAACCCACCCAGATGCTTTCCTGTGTAGTTGCTATAGGGAACTGCTTTAGGGGGCTGAAGTGGTGAGCTCCAAACGTTCTTTCTGACCCCTACAGTTCTGGGGCTGTGTGAAAACGCTAGCATTTTTTACCTTGGAAGATTGGGATTAGGGGACAAATCAGGATAAAGAAGGTAAATAATGCACTGCTGTTTACCATCTCTTGCTGTTGGACCCTGCTTCTGATCCCTGCTAAATCTAAGTTTGCTCCCTTCAAAGACCATCACAATAGCTCTAGAAGAAGCGGTGCCTGCTGCATACAGTGCGTAAAATCAGATTCTTATTAGGTGGATGTAGTACAAGCAGACTCACCACTGTTTTCACACAGCCTTTCTTTTCTCCCTTCTGGTATCAGAAAGGACTGCTGAGATTCAGACACTTTGTTTCCCCATTTTTAGTTTTGTCTTCCTGCTCCTTTGAAAGAATCCCTGGTGCTTCTTTGGCTGCTTTCCTAAAGTAAGTTGCAGACACCTCTTCAATGGCAGCAATTTGTGACTGAGGAAGGAACTCTTCAGGTGGAACAACAGTGCTCAGTTCGTTTGTTCAACACAGGGAGCTAGGAGCTGCACCCCGCTATTCACAGCTGGCTCTTGGGAGGCTCCAGGATCAGACACCTGATGTGCAGACTGCCTTTGCTTCAGGTACAACCAAAGAGGAGCCCACAGCCTGTGCTGCTGAGCTCTGAAAAGAGCCTTCCTGCAAAGCCCTCTGCACATTTCCATGGGAACAGACACATGCCTTTCCTGTTGCCGAGGAGACACAGCGCTGCTTTCTGAGCCTGGCACTGCAGCATCCTTGAGACAGGAGCAGTTTCACACCAGCGCCTCCCTCCCCACTCACCACCTCCTCCCATTCCCTTTTTGCACCTGCTCTTAGCGCTTAGGTGCAGTGTCTCCATTCCCCCAAACAATTGGCTTTGATATCAGCATTTAAAATGACACAGCCAACCTGAACACCTCCGTGTGCACGGACTCTGTCCTCCCCACCACTGTAATTATTCTCATATACTGAGCGACCACGCAGCGCAACAACTTCCTTTGGTACCGATCTGCACTTGAAGCTGGGTGGCAAAACCAGCGCATCTCTCCTCCGCCTTCCCTCACTTTCGCTATTTCTAAACGGAAAATCGAAAGGAAAAAGCAAACCCAGCGGGCTGGCTGAGCCCTGCAGGCCTCGGGCTGGCAGCGCCCGGAGGAAGCGCAGATTCTCGCTCTCGGAGCCGCGCCTCAGGCCGCGCTCGCAGCCGCGGTCCCAGACTGCCGCTGTGCGGCCGCCGCCGGCACTGACCGCAGCGCTGCGGGGCGGCCGGGCGGGGCGGCGGCCTCCGGCTGACAGCGGCTCTCCCCCGCGTCCCTTCCTCCCTCAGACAACCTTTCATCTGCCCTTTCAGATGGAAAAGAAAAGGGGAAGGACAAAAAGTAAATCGGCCGGGCGGGGAGCGACAGTGCTGTGCAGCAGCGGGCCCCGCTCTTCTGATGGGGGGAGGCAGAACGGATGGAGACTGCGGTCAGAGAGCCAGCGGATGGAGCGTGCTATCGCGGGGAAGCCTTGCAAAGTGGGACCCGTGGCGGCAGGAGGGCTCCTCCTCCCTCACATCTGAGCTTACAGAGCAGTGCTAACCTTCACAGTCAGGAGGAACGAGCTCCAGGCTCCGAGGGAGATCTCAGAGCCCCTGGACTGCATCGTGCATGAACAGCCTGAGAAAAAGGCACGTTGGACGCCCTTCTGCAGCAGCGCCTGCTTGTGGGATACGCTGTCACCAGCGGTCTGCTGTCAGCAGATCCTGATCACAACGTCTCCAAAGAGCGCTGAGCCTTGTCCAGGCTTTGACCCACCCTGCCCTCATCCACAAACAGCAACACTGACTCAAGAGCCCAACAGACCAAGACAATTCTGAGGGCAGGGATGAAGGACGAGGGACCCCAGGTCATCTTCCTGACCTTACAGATACAGAGGAAGGGTTGGATAGGAGCAGATCTATCCTGCATGCTAACTGCTACCTGCTATGTGTATCTGATCAGGAGTTCGTGCCTTCAGATAAAACAAAGCTTTTTTCCTCACTGAGGTTCTTCAAGACGAGGACAAAGCCCCTCTCTCCTCTCGGGTAAACAAATACAGTGAGTTCTTGTGGCCACCCACTATAAAATAGCTTTAACTACACCTTTAATCTCTTTACGTGTCTCTTCTGAACACTTGTCCATACTCCAGAAGGCTTTTTGAAGCACAGCTACTTGAAATGGAACCTCTATTACAGTAAAATGTAGTCATGTCCCAAGAACGGCATCCTTCTTGGACCCAGTTTTCATTCCTCTGTTAGCACAATCCCAAAGGCCATTTGCACCTATACAAATTTATCCTTGTTTATTTCTCACTATATGATCCTTGCATGTTTGTCTACTAAAAATTATGAGCATTAAAAAGAACCCAATGTATAAATCAACTATCTAAAGAGTCCAAATAGGCTGGTAAAATGTAACCCTACCCAATATTCATCACTGCACTAATTCTATCACCTTACGTATCCTGCCACGTATTTCCACCTGCATCCAAGGGCTCGGATTACTCTGCAACCTCAGTGCCAGCGCAGCCCTGCTGTTGATCAGCTGATGCAGTCTGTAAGCAAGTGTGTGAAGCAGACAAGAAATAGACAGCATCCACCTGTGCACCGCACAGCCCCGTGAGGTCTTCAGGGAGTGCACAGAAAGCAGCTTTCCCCAAAGGGAGCTCTGAGCCCCAGAAGTACCTGAGCCTCTGATACCTAAAAAATCTCATCGCTGTCACTGGCTTTACACAGAAAGATAAAAACCAGAAGTGGGTGGTAAATTAAGTGAAAGCTGTAACCATTATCTGTACAGTGTGTTGTTACGAGGTGCTACTTTGAGGTAATACTGGAATGAAAGGTGACATGGTGGGCACAACTATCCGAACCGCATCATCTGATTTGGACTGAAAACAAAAACAGACAAAAAACAACCTACAAACAAAAAGGAAGCAGGAACCACAGATAGCTTGCTAGGAAGATAGGAGCCAGTGCCGAGCTGACAGTGCCTCATTTATGTCCTTACAACAACAAGGCCTGGATTTTCAATTATTTTTCACTATCGCTTCCCTGCTGGGCACCCAAGTGTCTCTGCTTTCAAAATGGAGACAGTATTATCTACCTTCCCTACAACAAGGAAAAGAAAACCTGAAGGAATGGGCATCTCTATTCCTGTCCAACAGAACTACGTTTATCAAAATGAACACATAGCACTATAGGAGCCATAGCTCATAGCAAGTCTGTGTGACATGATAACAAGTGTCTAGTTAATAGCCTGGCCTTCCTATGAAGCACAAAGTGAAGGAACTCTTTGTGGGGCAGCAGATATCAAGAGATGATAGTAAGGAAATGCCTTTCAAAGAGAAGGATGCAACCACCCCAGGAGAATGTGAAAGTTCTGTTGGAAGTGACCTACAGAGATCAGCCAGTCCGAGCGCCTCAGGGCTGCAGCACACCACTGAAGGCATTACCCATCTGCCTCCTGAACACTGACAGGCACGGGCACTGACCATCTCAGCAGGAGGCCTACTGCAGTGCCTGACCACCCTTACAGCACAGAGATTTTCCTCATGTCCTGTGTGGGGCAGCTCTGTGCCACCTCTGCCCATCCTGTGCCATCCCTGCCCATCCTGCGCCATCCCTGCCCATCCTGTGCCACCCCTGCCCATCCTGCGCCATCCCTGCCCATCCTGCGCCCTCCCTCCCATCCTGCGCCATCCCTGCACATCCTGCGCCATCCCTGCACATCCTGCGCCATCCCTGCACATCCTGTGCCATCCCTGCCCATCCTGTGCCACCCCTGCCCATCCTGTGCCATCCCTGCCCATCCTGCGCCATCCCTGCCCATCCTGTGCCATCCCTGCCCATCCTGCGCCATCCCTGCACATCCTGCGCCATCCCTGCACATCCTGTGCCATCCCTGCCCATCCTGTGCCACCCCTGCCCATCCTGTGCCACCCCTGCCCATCCTGTGCCATCCCTGCCCATCCTGTGCCATCCCTGCCCATCCTGCGCCATCCCTGCCCATCCTGTGCCATCCCTGCCCATCCTGTGCCATCCCTGCCCATCCTGCGCCATCCCTGCCCATCCTGTGCCACCCCTGCCCATCCTGTGCCACCCCTGCCCATCCTGCGCCATCCCTGCACATCCTGTGCCATCCCTGCCCATCCTGCACCATCCCTGCACATCCTGTGCCATCCCTGCCCATCCTGTGCCATCCCTGCACATCCTGCGCCATCCCTGCACATCCTGTGCCATCCCTGCCCATCCTGTGCCATCCCTGCCCATCCTGCATCATCCCTGCCCATCCTGCGCCATCCCTGCCCATCCTGTGCCACCCCTGCACATCCTGCCAGTGCTTCCAGGAGCAGAGCCCAAAGCTGCACACAGTACTCCAGGTGTGGCTGCTCCTGCCCCGACCCCAGCAGGACAACCACCTCTTGTGACAGAAGGCTGGCTGAGTTCAACGCAACCCAAAATGCAGTTGGCCCTCCTGGAGGCCAGGCCCTCCTGCTGGCCCACGGTGAGGCTGATGGCAGCACAGCCTTCTGAACGCTGCCTGCTCCTCCCAGCTCAGGACATACACAGATATAAATACCAGGCAGTAGTGCCTGTGCGTTTGCTCTTTCACTGACCTCAAGTAACATGACTTCCATACACACGTGTATCCTACAAGTATGAGCAATCATCATGAAAATATGCACAGCACTTTTCTTTAAAGAGCAAAGTGCTCCAAACTGAAAATACGACGTAGTAAGTATTGATAACACTTGCAAGTCGCTTATGTTTAAGAAGAAAAATGAGTGGTACAGGGGAGCTCATCAGTTAGGGGCACATACTGGAAATCAAAAAAATAAAGGAAAAACACAAAACCACAGCAAACAATAACAAAATCATACAAGATTCTTCTTTTAGAGTGAAGTAATGATATAATCAAAATAGAGGTGAGTACATAAGTAATACAAATGACATGGACAGTGTTCACGTTGCAATCTCTGCTGTAACTCGCTCTCAGTTAAAGAACTTAAAGTAATTGACTCAAGACCAACGATGATGCAAAGTTGAAAGCAACAGAAGAGTTTTACACAGTGTTTCAGTAACAAAAATGTCCCAGAAATGATTATGGTCCAGATCTCATTGGATAGATATGAAAACATAGGTAGTTGTTGACACTGAGCATTTCTGTTAAGTACTTAGAAATAAGTCACAGAAGATGCTCGTGGTTTATGCAGATGACAAAATAAAGACATGTTGATTACTACAACCACCCCTACAGAAAGGTGCTAAAGTCAGAACTCTTCACGTTGGTGGTGAGGCCCTGGCACTGCCCAGAGCAATGGGTGCCTCATCCCTGGAGGTGCCCATGGCCATGGATGGGGGCCCTGGGCAACCTGAGCGGGTGGGGGACAGCCAGCCCAAGGCAGGGTTGGAATGAATGATCTTTAATACATGGAATAAATGATCCCATCCAAATCAACCCCTCCACAATCCTCTGGTTACTGTAGGATCCATTCTGCTCTTTATATCACGGAGAGGTGAGAAGCTCTCTTCTCACTGTAAAAGGAACCCACGGGAGCAGTTCAGATGCAGACTCCTACAGTCAAACAGACAAACCAGGTCTTCTTTATACACTGGCAATGCAGCGTCAGAATTGAAACTGCAAAAGCATTTTGTGTAAGTATTTAACAAGCACTGAAATGTACAGCTGCAAACTGAATGGTGTGTGCAAGCTGCTACTCTTCAATTAGCTGCTGTGATAAAAAAACTGCTGAGCACATTCCAGACACAGAGCTGCACACGCTGAAGAATGCTGCCTCGGTGCTTCAGCTGGGCCGATCAAACTGTATTTAACTCAGATTCCAAGAATTTCTTCACAAGACGGATATGAGAGAGGAATTCTGTGACTGAACAGCGCTCAGGCAGAGCCAGTCTTAGCCTCACACACAGGTCCCACAGGGGCTTACAGCAAAGCAGTGGAGGGGAGAGAAAGCACCACAAGAACAGGAACAAGCAGCCAGGACAGAGCAGAACTTGTAAAACCAGGACTTCAATGTTTTCAAGGATAGGAGGGAAGCAGAACAGCTGTAATGGTTTACAAACAAAAACGTAAAGAATGTTCACAATTAAATTCCCTTGTAACTAGATGCATTTGTAGGCATTTGAAATAAACGAATTTTGGTTATCAGGAAAATGACAGCAAGATTGCTAAATATTGCAGCTCAGCGTTGGCCCTTCAGTAAGAGTGAATTTTGGAAAGAAAAAAAAAAGGATAAAGAAAGCCCAGGGGACTTCTCATAATGTCAGCAGATCAAATGCCATCCATGTTAGGACACTGGAAGCTCTGACTCAAGGCCAGGCTGGATGGGGCCCTGGGCAACCTGATCTGCTGGGTGGCAACCAGCCCACAGCGGGAGGTTGGAACTGGACGGTTTTTAAGGTCCCTTCCAGCCTCAATTATGCTGTGAAGCAAATGGTGTCCTGGGCTCCATCAGCAGAGTGGTGGCCAGCAGGGACAGGGACGGGACTGCTCCCCTCTGCTCTGCTCTTGTGAGGCCCCACCTGCAGCACTGCATCCAGGTCTGGAGCCCCCAGCACAAGGAAGACAGGGAGCTGTTGGAGAGGGTCCACAAAGAGCCATAAAGATGCTCAGAGGGCTGCAGCACCTCCCTACAAAGACAGGCTGAGGGAGCTGGGCTTGTTCAGCATGGAGAAGAGAAGCTGCGGGGTGACCTCAGTGCAGCCTGCAGTGCCTGAAGGGAGCCTGCAGCCAGGAGGGGAGTCAGCTGTGTGCAAGGGGAGATGGCAGCAGGACGAGGGAAATGGTTTGGAGCTGAGGGAGGGCAGCTGGAGGTTGGATGTGAGGGGAAGTTGTGTGCTGTGAGAGCGGGGAGGGGCTGGAACAGCTGCCCAGAGAGGCTGTGATGCCCCGTCCATCCCTGGAGGTGTTGGAGGCCAGGTTGGATGGGGCCCTGGGCAGCCTGGGCTGCTGTGCAATGGGGAGGTTGGTGGCCCTGCATTGGTGGGGGGTTGGAGCTTCGTGATCCTTGGGGTCCCTTCCAACCCAACCATTCTGTGATTCCAGATGAGGACCACTCCAAAACTAGTGTCTCCTATTTTATCACGTTGGTCCGTGGTGAATCAGAGGTGGATGTTGATGGTTTGGCAGTAGAGGTCGAACTGTCCCAGTAATATTCTGTGACATTCCATTGCTGTGTTACAGCTGGCAGCAGAGGGGCAGCCTGATAAGATGGCACCTGACATGGAAGTCTGTATGAAGCAAAGATGTGCCATGAAACAATAGCATCCATGGACATCCATCAACGCTTGTGAAGAGTTATGAAGACCACAGGGGATGTGAGCGCAGTGAAGGCTGGGTGGATTTCAGCAGTCAAGATGGTGGCAGTGAGTCACTTCCACTGCTGCACATCGTTAGGAATGCAGCACACAGGTCCTCATTCATTAGCTGGCAAAAATGCATAGCTAATTGTAATCTCTGTGCTGAAAAATAGTAGTCTGTAGCTGAGGATGTGCTCCATCAAACAGTGTCATTGTGCTTTGTAGCTGTAGTGGTTTTCATGGAAATAATTAGAAGGCATTACTTTTGGAGCAACTACATGCACTGCTACACTCTGTAAACTTTATTAATAAAATACTCAACCTTTTGCAAAAACAATATAGCACAACCTTAATATGTGTCAAAAGAGAACAAACCCTGTATAATAACAGCTAAATGAAGAACGAAGCTCAGGGAGGAGCTGTTGTAAGCATAAGTGAAAACATCATTTAAAACACCTCTGCGATTCAGGAGAAAGCACAAAATTTAAATGAACATTAATTTAGATTTCATAAGTCACAGAGGGACAGTGACACATAGATGAATGACAGACTCATTTATACTGTTGTCTGATCCACCTGGTGAGCAGGGAATAAGAGCTACACATAAACCAGATGAGGTTTAACAGAAGCAAGTGTAGAGTCTTGCATCTGGGGAGGAATAATTGCATGCAGCAGTACAGGTTGGGGATGAGCTGCTGGAGGGGAGCCCTGCAGAGAGGGACCTGGGTGTCCTGGTGGACGACAGGTTGCCATGAGCCAGCAGTGTGCCCTTGTGGCCAAAAAGGCCAATGGCATCCTGGGGTGCATTAAAAAGAGCGTGGCCAGCAGGTCGAGGGAGGTGATCCTCCCCCTCTGCTCTGCCCTGGTGAGGCCTCATCTGCAGCACTGCGTCCAGTTCTGGGCTCCCCAGCACAAAACAGACAGGGATCTCTTGGAAAAAGTCCAGCGGAGGGCAACAAGATGGTGAGGGGCCTGGAGCATCTCTGCTATGAGGAAAGGCTGAGTGAACTGGGGCTGTTCAGCCTTGAGAAAAGAAGGCTGAGAGGGGACCTGATCCAGGTCTGTAAATATCTGAGGTGTGGGGGGCAGAATGGTGAGGCCAGACTGTTTTCAGTGGTGAGTGGAGACAGGACAAGGGGAAACGGCCGGAAACTGCAGCATAGGAAGTTCTGCACCAATGTGCACAAGAACTTCTTTACAGTGAGGTGACGGAGCACTGGAACAGGCTGCCAGGGAGGGGGGGAGTCTCCTGCCCTGGAGATGTTCAAGACCTGCCTGGATGCCGACCTGTGCGACCTGCTGTAGGGAACCTGCTTTGGCAGGGGGTTGGACTCGATGAGCTCTGGAGGTCCCTTCCAACCCCTACAATTCTGTGATTCTGTGAAACAAAGGCACATTCAGTGAACCTAGAAGAGGAGACAAGGTGTATATTGCATGGAATGGGAAGCAAGAAACTGAGAAAGGTCTTCAGAAACATGGTAGAAACAGCACAGTAAGCTGCCCCACAAAGTAAAAGCTGAAGAGTTTGCACAGCCCCAAGGGCAGGAGCCAGCACAGCATGGCAGCAGAGCTAATGCTCACTTTGTAGCAGCACGTACAGCCTGATGTGCTGCAACAGCCCCAGGGACACAGACAAAACACAGGTGTAAGGGTATGACAGGAGGGAGGGAAACAGCAACGGTGTGAACCAAAGTGAACCAACTGAAGCCTCCTGTATTGCCTGTGACCCCACCTGCTGTGCCTGGGTTCGTTAATTTTCTTCACAGAGGCCCGTGGGGCTGTTTGGGCTGGGGCAGGATGGTGCTGACAGCACACGGATGTTTTGGTGTCTGCCAAGCAGAGCCGTGCAGAGACAAGGACCGTTCCGTCCTTGTGCTGCTGTGAGGGGCTGGGGGGCACAGCCAGGAGAGCTGAGCCAGCCTGGTCACAGGGATGTTCCTTCCCTTATGGAGTTGTGCATGGTGACAAAAGCTGGGGGAAAGAAGATGGACATTGAGGGAAGCGATCTGTCCTTCCATAAGGCCTCACGAATGACGAGCCCGCTTTCCTGGAAACGGCCACTGCCTGCCAGCTGGAACAAGTAACTGGATTCCTTGTTCTGCTTTGCAGCTTTTGCTCTACCAGTTAAGCTGTCTGTGTCCCAATCCATGAGTTCCCATGTTTTTCCCTTTGCAATTCCCATTGTGCTGTAGGGCAGTAAGAGCAGAACTGCATGAAGCAGCCCAAGAAAATACAGACATCAAACAATACAGATTTTGTCAGCCACAGCCACCCACAGCACGAGCTCTGTGCTTCTCCAACTGCCCATAGTGGTCACTGCTCCTCTGTGGGCAGAGCCAGCCAGGACGCTGATCCGACTGCACAAAGTTATTTGTATGACCTCAAAGAAGAAAAACGTGGGAATAAAAGAAACTGAAGTAGTAACCTGTCCTTTCATACCACTGAAATGGAAAGCTTCACCAAGATCTCAATGACTGATATTTAAAAATGATTCTCTGCTGACCCAGCAGGTACAGCACAGCTCTTGGCTCTCCACCTGGACATCACCAGTAACAACAAATTCTTCAGTCTCCACAAATTATACGTATTTTGCCAGGGGAAAGTGTTTGTAAATCTTTAATACTCACAAATTCATACACTGTGAACGTTAGGCCCTGCACTTCCTCCACAACACTTTCAATTTCTTTAATACCATTGAAAACACATTTGTAAATTGAAGGCTGTGTGCACATTAAAACTCAAGGTTATAAGTTTTCCCACTTCAGTACAACTAAAAACTATGGGCATGTGGTTGGTAAGCTATATTTTCTTTGCTGCAGTTTAGGATCTTGATAGGAGCTGAATCATTTAAACAAAGTACTTTTAGAATGCATTTACAGGCAGAGAACAAGACAGCTAAATTTCAGGGTAAAAATAAAAGAAATAAAAATAAAAGATACAATAAAAGAATGGCCCAGGTTGGAAGGGACCTCAAGGATCACGAAGCTCCAACCCCCCACCAATGCAGGGCCACCAACCTCCCCGTTTCACAGCAGCCCAGGCTGCCCAGGGCCCCATCCAACCTGGCCTCCAACACCTCCAGGGATGGACGGGGCATCACAGCCTCTCTGGGCAGCTGTTCCAGCCCCTCCCCGCTCTCACAGCACACAACTTCCCCTGACATCCAACCAAGCCTTTCTTCTTTGAGCTTAAAACCATTCCTGCTCATCCTATCACTGTATACCTGAGTAAAAAGTTGATTCCCCTCCTGTTTATAACCCCTAGGTGTTACCTCAAAGAAGCATTTTGCCACATTTGCTGCCTTGCATTCAATGGACCTTGATCCCAACCATACACAAGTAAGAAAATCGCAGGCAAGCTTCCAGGGATTAGCAGGTTATTATTCTCTTTGCCTGTACATATAACTTCTTTTGGGATGGACCTGCAGATCTCCTCCTTTTGGTCTGGTCTCTGTTTCTGCCAAGTGGCCCCAATCTTCTACCATTGGATCCCAAATAACAAGAACTACCAAACTGCCCTTCCAATGGACAAACCCTTAATCAGCAACAGCTGTCGGCTGCTCAGTGCCTTAAGGGATAGGCAAACTAAACTGTCCCATAGTCCTCCCTGGACTCAGAATCCCAGAGAAAGTTCAGCTGAACAGAAGGGGACAAAACAGTAACAGAAAACATAATCACAGAGAAGTAAATGGATTGAAAATGTGGCCAGAACAGTGCAGTCCAGTAAAATGGAAAGACTCCTTCCAGAGAAGGTAACGCTGAAACAGCAGACCTACAAATTGTATGATTTGTAAGAATCAGACAAGATGTGTATGATTTTGTAGGATGTAGCCCAAAGTGCTGATTCCATCATGAGCTGAATTGAAAGGCATGTGGAAATCATTCTGTATTTGCTTTACTTTCCTCTTCTTTTTTTTCATAATTCCACTCCAGGATGGATGCAGTACATTACAGCTCTGTGCCCCACGGAAACCACGCTCAGTAAACCACCACGAGTGTCTGCCTGGACCACAGCTCCCCAGCTCACCAGCAGCAAAGAGCCACACATTGCAGGCACCAGGCAAAGTCCATAGCAGCGCTGCAGCAGCTGAGCAACATGGTTGTTAACAGGCCAAACCAGACAGTGACAAGCCCAACGTCGCTTAAAACCAAGAAGTTCTAAGCCAGGCTATTTAATTCCAGAGCAAAACAGACTGCATTTTCTCACTTCACCAGTGGCAATTTCACTAGTGAAATGACCTGTGCAGGCTGTGAAAGACAAAAAGGCACTGAACCTTACAGCCATCCTGCATTGCTGACCGAGAACAGATGCAGCTGGGCACTTAAAGTGGAAGCAACAAGAGCAGAGGAACTAATGTTAGAAACCAGAGACCTGAGAGAGGCGGATTTGAGAACCTTACCGTGGAGATGACCGATACCTTCCAACAACAGCACCAGGGAAGCCTAATAGCAAAGAGTTAAACATGCTAATTTAAACCTGCCGTGAAAAGTAGTGCATCCTACAAATCAGTGACCACCACACGAGCTAATTGCAGTTACTCGTAGCAGCTGAACTAATAAACCACCACAAGGAACACTTGCTATCGCTCTCCCCACAGGCCTGCTCTTAGCACCGCACTGGCTAACATCACTTGTTCTGAGCCAGGTCACTCTGCCGATCGTCCCCTCCCTGACAGCGCCAGCAGAACCATCAGAGAAAGAGCTGTGCAACCAGAGGGCAGCTGAGGGCAACAGCAGCAAGCAAGCAGTTCAGGGCTCACTTCACAAAATACCAATACTTTCCAGATATCCAAAGCAATGTATCTTCCAGTCCCACGCCACAGACACATTCTTCCCAGCTGGAACATGTTGCCTTTTAAAGGACTAACACCTACCTGTGCCAGACTAGGCAGACGGCGAACACCTACAGTCACATGTGTGCAGACCAAGAGGGAGCAACAACCTTATCCACAGCAGGACGGGGCAGGAATCCAGATATTGTATCATGATGAATGAGCAGCAGACATTCTAATTGACCTGAAGCAGGAGTAGCTCTGAGACAGCAGGTGGAGGACACATTTGGATCCAGCTCTGAAAAGAGAAAACAAAATACTGAGTGATAGAAAAGAAGTATACAATATAAATAAAAGCTTTCTAGAACAGACCAACCCATGTGATACTTCATAAGCAGCACAACTTGAAAGGAAGGATGCAACTGACAGTGACTAAAGCCCTCCCTGCACATCCATGTTGCCTGTAAGGTACTTCTGCCCAGGCACTGCACCACACCTGGATAGCTTGTAAGCTGTTCAGCTGTCAGTCTGCAGCCAGCTTGTGACTGAGCAGGTTGGAGATAAGGTGAAGTATACTTCCCTGTAATGTGTCGACATGTTGAGGCTTACGTGCTAAGAATCACAACATGGTAAAGTTTGGAAGACATCCCTGGAATAGGCCTGGTCTAACCAAGAAGATGGGGATGCTCATGAATCTCACATGAATGCTCTCGGTTCTATTTCTGCCATAGGACATCTCCAGTAACTCTGGGGAAAGCAGCCCAGTCTGGGAGCTGCTGACCAACCAGCCTGCTTTCATGCTTCAAAAAAGTACCTCTAAAGGCTCTCGACCTTCCTGGCATTTCCACAGCAACTACTGGCTACCCTGACAGGCTGTCAGTGCTGCAGACAGGAGAATGACTGACCCCACAGACTCAGGGTACAGTCAGGCAGCTTCAGTGGCTGCATGTTCACAATAAGGTCCAGAATCGATGGGCCTGAGGAGGAAAAGGCCACTCCTTGGAAAGGAACATACGAGAGCATGACTTTGTTTTAACAGCCCTCCACTGCAGGTGATGAAGGGCAGAAGCATTACAGCACAACAAATGTGCCCACAGCACTCACAGGTGTGAGCTCACACCCAGCCATGCAGTTAGAAGCAGCTGTTCAGAGAACAGACAGACAAGAAAGGAAACACGAGCATCACGGTGCCAGGCTGGGCAGTCCAGGGCAGCAGCAGAGCAGACAGCCCCAACAGGGCAGTAAGGAGTCTCAGCTCAGCAGGGTTGAAGCAGGGCAAGAACAAAGGGCAGAAAGACTGTGGTGAATTGTGCCAAAATAGAGTTAAAGAAGGATAAGGTCTAGGATAGCAGTGACTGAGAACAACAAAGCAACAGAGGCAGTGCAGGTCAGAAGGACTGGGCCAAGCCAGCAAAGAGCCAGAGCACGAGGTACAGAAACAGCACTGCCATGCTGTAGAACAGGAGGTATCAGAGACTGACAGAGCAGCAGCCTCACGCTCACCATGCCCAGGGGCCAGGCTGGGAATTACTCCCCTAGTGCCAACGGGCAGGAATCCTGCTCAGAAAGGAGGTCTGGTTCCTCGTGGCAGTGCCCCTGTGGGGAACAGTTGGGTGTCGACTGCTACTGAGGCAGTACCAAGAAACCGGTTCTTTTCAGGTGCACAACTCCTCCAGGCATGTCGTACTTTGAAGTCATTCTCCAAGAAGGGCGCTGCTGACGCCCACAAGGTTGGAAACAACCTGCAAGATCATCTGGTCCAACCCCCCTCCCATTCCTATCAGTACCACAAGCACTGAACCATCTCTCATAGCTCCTCATCCAGGCGCCTTTTGAACACCACCAGGGACGGCGACTCCACCACCTCCCTGGGCAGCCATTGCAGTGCCTGACCACCCTTTGAGAGAAAAAGTTTCTCCTAATATCCAACCTAAACCTCCTCTGGTACAACTTCTGGCCATTTCCTCGGGTCCTACTATTTGCCTGGGAGAAGAGGCCAGACCCTTTTGCACCACAGCCTCCCTTCAGGAGGTTGTACAGTGCAATGAGGTCTGCCCTGAGCTCCTCTTCTCCACACTGAACATCAGGTTTGTGCTCCAGACCCCTCACCATTTTGTTGCCCTTCTCTGGACACGTTCCAGGGCCTCAATGTCTTTCTTGTAGTGAGGGGCCCAAAACTGAACACAATACTCGAGGTGCGGCCTCACCAGTGCTGAGTACAGGGGGATGATCACCTCCCTGCTCCTGCTGGCCACACTACTTCTAATGCAGGCCAGGATGCCGTTGGCTCTCTTGACCTTCTCATCCCTCTCGCATTTAATTTGCACTGGCCTTTCCCAGCAACTTGACCCCGGAGTCCCTCCGCAGGTGGTGCCGAAAGAGGAACCTCAGGAGAGACCTCAGGATGCAGAGAACGACATGGAGGGAGAACCACCTGCCGAGGCAGCTCGGCAAGGCCTGCGCTGAGAGCAGCGGTCAGACGCGGCGCACTTTGTACTCGGCGAGCACCGGGCGACGCGTCTCCCTCTGCGAACACGGCGGGTGCAGCCCAAAGGCAGCGCCGGAGACGGCCCGCAGCCGGCTGCAGGACAGCACCGGGTGCCTCGGGGCGAGGGGACGGGGACCCTTCCGTCCAGGCGCCGTCAGACGAGCGCTCCACGCCCCCGGGAAGCTCAGCCCACGCGGCAGGAAGGGCCGCCGACGGCTTCTGCAGCCCACACGCGGGGCGGCATCCCGGGACGACGCCCCCCGCTCCGCCCGCCTCAGCGCGACGCGCCGAGCACCGGAGCCGCCGCGGCCCGTCCCGGGGGTGTGGGGCGCGCGCTGAGAAAACGGCGGAGGCCGAACGGGCGGCACGGCGGGGCGGCGCCGCGCCCGCGAGGAACGGCGCGGTTCGATTCCCGGCCGGAGGGCAGCGCCCGGCGGAGGCGTCCCGGGGCGGGGGGCAGCGGGGCGCGGCGCTCACCGTCCCGGCCATTCTCCTCCCGCCGCGCCCGCGCCGCTCTCCCGCTCGCACCGGGGCCGCCGTCCCGGCGCTGAGCGCCTGCGCGACGCTGCGGAAAGCGGCGCAGGGACCGTCTGCAAAGTGCGCACCGCGCGGTGCGACCTGCGCAGGGGCAGCGGTGCGGAGCGGCCCTCCCGCAGCCCCCGACCGCCGGCGAGGAGGCACCGCGCGGGGGCGGCCGCTGCCGGCGCTCGAGTTTTAGCGGCGCTTCGGGAGACGGGAAGGCGGTCGCTCCGCGGTCCCTGCGAGAGCCTCGCGGGGGCGGCGCGGGCCGCCTCCTGGAGGCGGGGGCCGGGGCCGTACGTTCCCGGTCCCCGGGGCGCCCCTGCGGACGGTTTCCGTCCGCCGCGGGGCTTTGAGGCGGCAGTGGGTAAGGGATGGCCGGGCCGCCGCCGCCTCCTCCTCCGCCGAGCCCCGGCGCCCCGGGCTGAGCGCTGCGGCATCTCCTGGCGCACCGCCGCCGCAGCCCCCGCGGCGCCCCTCACCACGCCGCTGTCGCCGCCTCCCCGCACCGCCGTCGCGCCCCTCGTACCTGAGCGCCGCCGCACCGCACGCAGCCCCCCGCCGCCGCCGCCGCGCCTCCGCCCGCCGCCACCCCGCCCGGCCCGGCCCTGCCCCGCCCGCGGACCCACCTGGCAGCGGGGCTGGGGCCGGAGCTGGGGCTGACGCGGTGCCGCCTGCTTGCCGGGTGCGGTGCGGTGCGGCTCCACCGAGCCAGCAGCACCCGAGGGAGCGCTCAGAACCCATCTCTGCCCTGCGGCTGCCGCGGGCGCTGCGGGGACAATCGCTTACCGCGGCTCAGCGAGACATCGGAGCTGGTGTGGCACCGACTGCAGTCGTACTCTAACAGCGAACGTGGGAAGAAAATGGCTTTGAATCGTGTCTAATACTTCGAATTCAAAACCGGTCTCTGCCGAGAGTCGTTATCCCGAATTTGCTGCTCCTCTCTGTACCTGCTCTTAAGCAGCTATGGGCTGTGAGGATGCTGTGCTCGGGGCCGTGGGTCTGATCTGCTGTGCCGGGCACTTTGGGAAGGACAAGGGATGTTGTTCAGTGAGAATCCAGTAGGAGATATTTATGCAGTACGCTTTCAAAGAACAATTTGAGTAAGCGCTGAGGGAGTCTGCTGTAGGTTAAAGAAGCACCAGGAACAATGAGAGATGAGTGTTGCTATAGGAGGTGTAGCAAAGGTGGTATCCGAGTGCTGCGCTGAGGGGCTGTGAAGGCAAACAGCTCAGGTTAAGAGGAGAAACAGATGAGCAAAGACAAGCAGATCTTCCAACTCCAGGTGTTCAAATATGGCGTAAGCTTAAAAACTAAATAACATCTTGTAAAGATTATGAAGTGGATTTATATCTCTTATAATTGGGGCTATACGTTCTGCCCTAAGTTCGCACTTTTTCTGCGTGGTATTCTCAAGGTTTTTCACAGAACCTGAATCACAGAGAGACCAAGGCTGGGGGCACCCAAGGCTTCCTCTGGTCCCACCCTGGCCCAGCAGGGCCACCCAGAGCAGGGCGCTCGGTCCCACAGCCAGGTGGGGCTGCAGATCTCCAAGAAGGAAACTCCACAGCCCATACGAGAAGGCTGTGCCAATGGTCCAGCATCTGCACAACTGTGCTTCCTGGCGGGCAGGGCAGCTCCTGGGCCCCCATTTGTGTCCAGCACCGCTTGGCCTGGCATCAGCACCACTAGAAAGAGCCCAACTTTGTCCTCTCTTCAGGGATTTAAGGCCACTCACCACAGAAGTCCACATCACCTCCTGAGCCTTCCCTGCCCCATGCTGAGCAGCCCCAGCTCTCAGCCTCTCACAGCAGAGGTATGCTGGGTCCTTCGCCATCTCTTTGGCTCTGCATTGGACTCCGGTGTGTCCAGATCTCTTTTGTACCATGGAACTGTGACCTCCTGGTCACACTTTGCCTAATGCAGCCACTAATAGTGTTAGCCTTCCTTTTGCCACTGCTATTTGCTCTGGTATACAATTGTAAAGGGAAAAATACTTTTTGTTACCCATAATCCAGAAACTCACCTTGGGGTACCTTGGAATAAAAAAGTTTAGCATGCATATTGTGAAGATCCGTAAGTGCTGTACACATCCAGGAAACAGTCTGAAATAACAGTGCAACAGATGGTACCTGCCTTGCCTGAGGGACAAAGCTGAGCCCAGGTGTCACAGCAAAAAGCACTGCGTGTTGGTTTAGGCTCAGACTGCTGGTGGGAGGCTGCTCAAGTGAGCGAGCCTGGGTGTGCTGTAAAGAGCTGAGAAGCGTTTCATCACAGCTCTGTGACTGGGTGATGCTTAGGGCCAAATAGCAGGGGCAAAGCTCCCAAAAAGTAAGTCATCCCTGTAGAGTAAGGAATGGAAGAGCATGCAGGGAAACAATACTTCTGTTCTGATCGGGCAATGCTCATCCGTTAATGAGATTGTCTTCTGTGTCCAGAATCTGATCTCAGCCAACCCCATACCTGGTGTCTGTAACCCCATACCTGGTCTTTGGGACATTCCGGACGGTCTGCACACCATTTTATTGCACCCTGAGTGCAATTGGCTGTGAATCGCTTTGGAGTGAGAGAATTCAGCACCCTGAGGGCTGTGACTGATACCTGCAGTCATCCTGGGATTGCACATGCACAGCTGAGCTGCTCAGAGGCAAACCGTGCTGATGAGTTGGGCTGCACATGGAAAGGTCACATTATTTATATTCCAGAGCCTTGGAGAAGATTGATGGACACCTTGATCAGATGCACTGTTTTTCACTTTTGCATCTTTAAAGAAAACAAAGTCTTATTAGTGAAGAGCAGAGCGGTAGCTCCTTCACAGGAGAGGAGACAAGGACTGTTTTCTTCTGTTTCTTAAAACTAATAGCACAGCTGGGACAAAAGCTGCCTGTTTGTAACGTATTTTGTACTTTTTTTCTCTGTGATCAGAAGTAAACTGTTTCAACAGGATAAGGGTTAAGTAATCCTGCCCAGGAGATCCAGAACAGTGAGTTACCCTCGCTGCAATGAAACAAGAAAGAATATTCAAGTGCGTGGAGCCAGCAGGAATTGAAGAATGTCTTAGGTTGGAAGGGAGCTTTAAGATCATCCAGTTTCAACTCCAAGAGAAGTGCACACAAACGTGTGAGCAACTCATGGCATGGGTCACGGCAGACTAAGCAGAGTTGGAGGCACAGCCAATGCCCAAAAGGGGCATGCACTGTATGTTATAAGCTTGATTATGACACTCAGTGATTTGGCTTCTCAGTCAGCCTGTGACCCCCAGTACGGTCCAAGAATTCTGTACCCCAGTCCTCACGCAGCTCATCACTTCTGGCTGAGTGTCCTTGAAGGTCGGTCCTTCTTTGCAGACAGTAGCATAAAAATGGTGGTACAGGTTTAACTCATAAGTGCCACCTGACTCATTTTGCCTGTTTCTGCCAATGGCCAGCAATGAACACCTACAGAGGATCCTAACAAGGCAGACACACAGTGATTCCTCCTGGAACCCTTTCCTAGCTCCAGTGCTTTCTGATTCAGACCTACTGTGGCCGAGGTGTTGGCTCAGTGCCTCACTGCTTTGAGTTGCTCTTTTGTAACTTTCCTCAACTGTGTACTCAGTTGTGAAATTAAAGGCCACTGTCTCAGTTGCAGCTGGGTTGGAATTGTTTTCTTCAGCGTGTCTGCTAGGATGTAACGCTTTCGTTCTGGGAGGAGACCAATGTTGATAACATGCTGATGTTCACAGCTGCTGCTAAGCAGTGTGGCACAGAGGAAAGGCAGCAAAGGACCCAGAAGGGAGCAGAATTAGAACAGCTGTCTGAAACCGGCCAGAGGAATATTCCATACCATATGGCATCACGTGGAAGGAGTTTTGAAGGAGATGAAAGTTGATCTTTCCTTCTCTTCCACTGCTCAGGGGCTAGCTGGGCACTGGCCCAGAGTGGGGAGCAACTGCTCGTGCATCACTTGTTATACACATTCATATACACTGCCATGACTGTTATCCTTTCCCTTTTCTCTCTACTCGTAAACAGTCTTATTTCAACCTATGAGTTCTACTTTCTATCCTGTCACCCATCCCCCTGGGAACA